CTTGGAGGCGGGAACGTCGGGTACTGGGAGATGGGGCCAGAAAGGGTGGCAGGGGCCAGCTGGGGGCCGGGCATCCAGTGGGCTGTGAGCAGGAGAGGGTGGAGTGACTCGAGTTCCAGGGAGGCCTGGGGGACGTGGGAAGGAAGGAGGGAGGCGGGGACCAGTAGGGGCCAGGGTGGTGGTCCAGCAGGACAGCACTGCCAGTGGACACCAGCACCCGCTGGGACCTGCTTCCTAACCAGCCAGGGTGATGCCAAGACTCCCGGAAGCCCTTCCCAGAGCCAGGCAGGGACGTCCTGAGCAGCCCTCCAGCCCCTCAGCCACCCTGGGACTGGAGGCCCAGACCCGTCGCAGACCCGAAGCTGCGGGCCTCGGGAAGGGGTAAATCCCTGTGACGCCATTGGCCAGAACTCAGCTCCACAGACCCTCATTCCTCGTTCATCCCCGAAACTCCGAGCTGTCGGGCTTTTTAAAAACCTCACCCCGCTGGAAAAAATAATAGAAAATAACACAGGATGTGGAAAAGAGAACAGAAGTTACCTCCAGGCCCCTTGGAGACACTGAGCTGGCATCTTGTGTCTGCTCACTTTGCACTGGACCTTTTTATTACACACCAGGTCGTGAACACTTGCCCAAGTCTTTGGAAATAGGGCTGCTGAGGGCTGGGATCTGGGGGTCCTGCTGTGCTGTGTGATCTCGCAGGCGTCGGGCACCCTCTCTGAGCCTAGTTTCTGCACCTCTGTGGGGTCTCGGTGTCTTCCTGGCGTGTGGCTCAGCTGGAGCCCCCACCCTGGAGTCGCAGCCTGGACTGGGCACGCCCCTGCCCCCAGCCCTTTCCTGCCGCGTGGTCCTCCTGGAGCCCCCCTTTCACTGCCTGTAGGGTCTGGTGGTGCTGGTGGTTTGTTGACTTCATATATGCAAAGCACTCACGGAGTGAGTGCTCAGGCGATAGGAACTATCCTCCCTCTCACAGTCTTTGTGACCTGTGACCTCGTGGGTGTGACTCGTGGTCCTGGGCACGGAGTGGGGTGGGCCTGCACCCTGCGCGGCCACCCAAGCCTGTACTCCGAGTGCCTGTGCTTGGTCGAATGCCGCTGTATTGCCGTCCCGAGACCAAGGCTTTTGAGCAGGGATCCCCATTTTCATTTTGCACTGGGCCCCTCAAATTCTGACGCTGGTGCTGCCCTAAACAGCAGGTCCGTTGGGTCGTCTGGCTCACACGGGCACATGGTTGTGCTGAGAGCCGCTGGTGAGGTGGAGGCGGGCCGGGACACCCCAGTCCCGGGAGATCAGTGTCCGGTGGGGCCAGTGCCCAGCCTAGGCTACGTGGAGGCTCAGCCAGGGGCTGTGTGCACGGTGGTACACACAGAGCAGAGGTCCTCTGAGTGGGATGCCAGCTGGGTGTGCAGGGCAGGGGGCTGCAGCCAGGCCTGCTGCGGAGATGCAGGACGACTGAGTATGAGCCACAGGGCCGCAGCGCTGGCACCAGTGCCCCACGGGCGGCTTCCTTCCCACCTCCTCAAGGCCCCAGCGCCCACCCACCCATGGGGGAGGTGGGGATCAGGCCACCTGACATCCAGAGGCTGGTCACAGGGCCAGGAGTGCCGACTCGGGGAAGGGTCCCCAGGACTTGGGCAGGCAGGCTGGGGGCCTCTGGCTGCAAAGGCAGCTCAGCAGGAACGAAAGGCGGAAATTTAAAAAGAGCAGAGAAGGAATGGCTCTGAGCCTCGGGGGCCGTGGGTCTCCCTGGAGGAGCAGGGCCTGGGGTCCAGGGGATGCTCTGTCTTCCAAAGTCCCAGTCAGCATTGTGGGGTGACTCTGGCCTGGTGTAGGCCCCCGTCCCGGCCTGCCGCCCTGGGGACCCTGCCCCATGCTTTGAGGGGGAGTCGAGGCTCTGAGAGGCACCCGCCGTGGGCAGGTGCGCAGGAGGCCCAGCATCTGTCGGGGTTACCAGGGATGAGTGTAGGAGCCGCAGGAGGGACGGATGTGGGTAAGGGGAAGAGCTGCTCTGGCCGAGGAGGTCAGGGGACGCCCCCCGAGGTCCCCACTGCCTTGGATTTGACCCGCCTTGATGGGGAGGGCCCCCCAGAAGGGGCTAACCAGCCTGGGGCGGAGGAGGCAGACCCTGCTGGGGCCACCTGAGTTCTGATCTGGACTGGAGAGGCGGGGGTGCGGGGCCTTGCAGAGGTCTGGCCGATGGGGACTCAGGTAGGTGAAGGCAATGGGGAGCCACTGAAGGCTTTTCAGCCGGGGAGCACCTGGAGCAGAGCTTGGGAGAGGCTGCTACAGGCAGAGGCTGGGAACCCAGCGTGAGGTGACATGAGGCCAGATCCGGGCTGTGGTGGTGAGGACAGAGAGGGTGGTCAGAGAAAGGGGCCTGAGGCGGAGGCACTGAGGACTTGGGGGCTTCCTGCGAGACGGGCCACAGCGAAGCTAGGGCAGAGGGCGAGATCTGTGGAGAGGAGGGGGCCTCAGGGTGCCCTGGCTGCTCTGGGCCCTCTGAGGCCCAGCGGGTGTGTCCTGTCTCCCCAGGGACAGTGGGATGAGACTGGGATGGGGGTGAGGGGGCTGGTGGCAGGGAGGCCATCCTGAGCCAGGGCTCTGGCCGAGGTCCTTGTCCACCTGCTGGGAGAGGACAGCCCTTCTCCCCAAGGGCGGCGGGGCTGCCAGGCCTCAAGGGCAAAGGCAGGCGGGGGCAGAGGAAGGAGCTATGGCTGGGAGCTTAATGGCCCCGAAAAAAAAAACATAAAACTGGAGAATTATGGGGAGACATAAACAGAGCTGTCAGGCATTAGCTGCAGGGAGACGGCTGAGCCCGGGGAAGAGATGCCGGCGGCTGAGCTGGGATCCTTGCGTGAGCATAAAAAAGACAGAAGTTATAAAAGGAGGGAGATTAAGAAGACGCTGCCTCCACGCTTGGGCTCCCTGGCCGACTCTTTTCTCACGCCCCAGCTAAGGCCCCAGCTGCACGCTGACCCTGGGGGCCTGGCCTGTGGGGCCTGGC